GTCACAGTTCTTCGACGAGGACGACGATGTTGTTCCCGTTACCCATATGAGAGTGCAGCAAACACGCTTGAAATCAGTAAGTGACTACAGCGACCAGACGCCGCCATTGAAACCAGAGGACTCGAGCCATTCAAGTCGACTCTCTAATATCGTCACCATGATATTAGTCGTAGTCGTATTCGTGGTTAAGATGTTTTGTCGACTTCCGAGGATTGTTTTGGATTTTATCTTATATATTGTTGTTTTAGAGCTTAGAGGATTACGTTATGTGAGAGATGGATTTGATGTAATGAAGAGAGGGAATTGGCCATCCCCACTTAGAGTTTCAGTAGTGAGAAATGCGTCGACATCGAGATTGAAGTCGAGAACTAAACATTCATCGGTTAATGTCAGAGCGAGTGATAACCTGCCCTGCGCCTCGGACACAGGTGCCATCGCTGGAGGAAACTCTGGGCAGCGGGAAGTCCTGCGTGATAATTTTGACCGAGAAACTTTGTTGACAATGCAACGTGACGACCCCGACGTCGGCATAATCTACAAATGGATTTCGGAGTCTCCTGAAAGACCTAATCGAGCCTTAGTTCATGACAAAAGCCCAATCGTCAGGAATCTATGGCTCTTATGGACTCAGCTTGAATTAATTGACGGTGTTCTATACAAACGGCATGTCACTAATCATAAATTAACTACTACTAGACAACTCGTCGTCCCATTCATACTGCGTGATCAGATCTTGGAGTCTAATCACAAGTCTGTGCTATCAGGGCATCTCGGAGTTAAAAAAACTTTCAGTAGAATCCAACGATTTTACTGGTTAAATATGAGAGAATCTGTAAAACTTTATATTGGTAATTGTGTAACATGTGGTGCCCGCAAGCGTCCGACATCAAAACCAAAGGGGCCTCTTGGTAAATATAACTCGGGATTTCCTATGGATCGTGTCGCTCTCGATATCATGGGTCCATTTCCCATCAGTAACCAAGGTAACCGTTATGTTTTGGTAGTGGGAGATGTATTTACCAAATGGATCGAGGCCTATGGGATTCCTGATCAAACAGCTCGTACTGTCGCCAACATCGTGGTGAATGAATTTATCGCTAGATGGGGCATACCGTTGGAAATACATTCAGACCAAGGCAAAACATTTGAATCACAACTTTTCCAGCACGTTTGCCAGCTACTGGAAATAACGAAAACAAGGACTACACCATACCACCCGTCATCCAACGGTATGATTGAACGATTTAATCAAACACTTGTTAATATGATGTCTGCTTATGTTGACAAAAAGCAGGAGAACTGGGACTTAAATTTGTCGCTCTTGACATCAGCCTATCGAAGCACTATTCATGAGACTACTGGATTTTCACCAAATTTTCTCATGTTAGGGCGTGAGGTTAGAACCCCAATTGAAATAGCACTTGGTGTAGACAAGCCCGACATCAATGACCAGGACTATCATGAATACGCCGCCAACATCGTCTCAACGATGAAGGAAGCATACAACTTAACCCGTGAGCATCTGGCCTCACAAACTCAGAGACAGAAGAGAGATTATGATGCGAGACTATCAGTAAACACCTACAGACCAGGGGATTTAGTCTACTATTTAGACACAACTAGAAAGAAGGGACTTTCCCCAAAACTGAAGTCTGCTTTCTGGGTTGGTCCATGTGTGGTGACCAGAAAAATGAGTGACTTAGTGTTTGAGATTAAAGCGCAACAACAGGGAAAAGTCAAAGTCCTCCATCATGATCGTCTTAAACCCTTCAAATCTAATGACATTCCACAATGGGTAAAGGAACTATCTAAGAAAGTTCGTAATAATGTTTCTTTTTCTAATACTTGTACTACTGGTACCCAGACTAGCCAGAAAGACGCCTTCTCCCCTCGCCGCTCTTCGCGAAGATCTATAGCCCCTGACAGATTTGTATACTAAATTACCATAGATGACATACTCCAGGCATGAACTTGTTGATTCCGTCTAAATGCCTTGTGAATTTTTTTTTTTTGCGGACATTGAGTGCCTTAACTTATATCGGAGGACTTGTTTTGGACGAACTGTCAGTTTTATATTTAATGGAACTATGAGAGTTCCATATTGATTACCATGCGTACTTTCTATAATTATTTGGATCTAATTATTTTGTCTCTTCAATAATTGTTCGTACATTGCCATTGCCTGTTTTCTACTGTACTTTCCGTTTCTTCTATCTAACCTCCCTACCTCTCTCTCTGTGCCTATCTCTCTGTCTTTTTCTCTTATCATCTATTTGAGAATTATGTGACTGGGTGGAGTTATTGCCACTGTGTTTACTCTTAGTACTCTCTCGGATGTTATGCTATTTTCAATGTTTTACACCATTTGCTATTTAATTTCTGCCACATTACATAGGGTGTGCCCTAACTTTTGTATCTACTTGCGGGAAAATGTACTACTCTAAGTTTTCGGTATGTTTTAAGTTCCTTCACATTATCATGAAATTATACTGCTTGTCGCAAATTCGCTGTTCTTACCTTTCTTAATTGGTTACATCCTGCTGCAATGTTTTTGTTTTGTTGCGCCATATAGCGCACGATGTACTCATTTATTTTTTATGTATGCATTTTTAATAGTCAGATTAGGTCAGATAGTATTTTGTATCTTCGTCTATCTTTAATTCATTATACATGTGTACCTGCAACTGTTAATATATGAGTAAAGGTCACATTCCTTTGTTTTGTAAGTCTTCTCTTTTTTTGGGGGTAATTTATATACATCTTCTTAGAGGCTCAGGCCATTGGCTTAATTATTTTGCCTGTTTCTTCCATGCTATCTTTGCATTGGTATACCATAGGGAACAATCTTGAACTTGTTGGTTGTGTACACAAGGCTCCTTTTGACAAACAACGCTCCCTCTCTTTTCCGGATTCTTTCTCTCCCTCTATCTCTTTCTCTCTTGTCTCTTTCGCTGTCATCACCTTGCCTTCTCTTCTCTCTCCATTCCTATAGTCTCTCTTTGGTTTCCTTTCTCCATGACTTGTTTGTTGTACTATAGATGTTAAGTTATGCTTTTGTATCATTGCGTCTGTTGGTAGAGTTCAACTATAAGGACATTTGTATTTATCCTACATTTTACTATACTGGCGCATCTGTTGCGTATTCGTTTTTCGATATTTGCTTTATTTATCATGATTTTACTGTTGCTTTTGCTTTTCTTTCCTATCCCTTTCTTATCCTTCTCTTCTGTTCTTCTTGTTATTTTTCCTTCATTCTCCTTTTCATCGCTGGGGACAGCGATATCTTCCGTAGGGGGAGGATAGTGTCACGCAGTTTGGTTAAGATATTTGATGTAATATTATGTATATATTTTATTCCATGCTTTAGTCTACTTTACAACTATCCATGATTATTGTACCAGTCTGTGTTAAGGATGTCTTGCTATAATAACGCTATTACAAATCCAGCCAGCTCGATCCCAATTGCTTTGCATACAGCGGAGTTCTATTCTCTCCTCACTTTGACCTTGCATTCACTTTCAGAACTTTCATTCTCTCCCTTCTCACTTTGACTTTGCCTGACTTTCAGAACTTTCACTCTGTCCCTTCTCACTTTGACTTTGCCTGACTTTCAGAGCTCTCGCTCTTTCCCTTCTCTCTTGTTTACCCGAAACTCTCATTTCAACCTTGCACTGTCCTTCAGCCCTTTCAGCTTGCTTCTTGTCTTGACTTTCTCCTGTCCTTGTATCCTCTCTCTCAATATGACTTTGAGCTCTCTATTTATGTGCTCAATGACGCCCTTCTCCTAAATACTCCGCAGCGCGATACTTGTGACCTACATGACTGGTCTTTCTCCATCTCTCTCGAAGGGTATATAAGACAGACTGCATTCGTATCTTAGGCAGTTAGGAGCGAAGAATCTGTCAGTGAAGAGTGAAACTAGTGAGCTGTCGAGAGTTAATTGTGTCAGTTAGTGTGACAAGCCTGTCATCACAGTGTTTGAAGCGAGAGTACTTTACGAATGGGATAGAGAGCCAACCAGTTCAGAAATGGTCTCCAGTCATGTTAGTCTATCTTTTTAGCCTGTTCTAACGCCTGCTGCATTATTTTGCCTCTCTGATTCGCAAGACATTCTCTTTTATCCATCCTTGTAAATGTGTTTGGGTTTGCTGTAATAAACTCTTCAACTGTAATTCCTGCCTCTCGAGTGTTTATTCTCCCCGAATCTCGGCCATCCCTAACAACTAACCTTCAACATACAACGGGGCTATATTTTGGGACTTTTACTTCCTATATTGTCGCCGTTACAATAACAAGTTATATGAAATGGGCCCCTAGTGTGCTTCATAAGAAAGTAAGTAGAAAATGGTCAAAATAGATAACAAATCTAATGATTACATTCTTATATATATATATATATATATATATATATATATATATATATATATCATCTGTTTGGAGCTATAAAAGCATAAACTCTATAATTGCCGTTCTGGCTTCAAACGGTCAATATTCTTTATCAATTAACCAAGTATGTATAATATATATTTAACCAACAATTCGTAGACTGACACTGGACAACAGATATCACGGCAGATTTCAGAACAAACTTTTGCATGCATGTTTTTAACAAGAATATCGACGGAATAAGCTGGAAGAAACTTTCTGCATAAATAGCTACCTGATGGTGTTGATCACATTGTAAAACATTTCAAGAAAATTTCTATCTGAAATCTATCTTCCTTCTCTTACATAATTTCTAGAGTGAATCATAACTTATTATATTGTCTGTTCAGGGCCAGATATGTGTTGACTTTGTGTTAAAGTATGTGGGTGAACAGTGAACACCCTCAATATTACAAAGAGATAATATTTGCTCTATCATTTCTATATCCCAAATGTTGCTGCTATGACAGGCAATGTTTCCATTATAGATGTAGGGGTGATTACTTGCAACAATCATCATTACAGAAAAATACCCAATGTTTTTCTTTGCGATTTGCTGCATGTATTCACTTCTCTACACTAGTATGGATTTGAGACATATCTCCCCAGACCTGATGTTCAGACAATTTTGATAGCTACAGTAATAAATTAGAGATAATACAAGAGCACACATCTAATATATCCATATGATATTCATTTTGAAAATGCTTTTTATCTGTTGACAGCCCGAAAGGACTTAAACTCAATGTAAAATTATATGAGTTAACAGCCTTCTGGCTGTCAACAAATGATGTCATCTTATCATTCCAAACCCATTCAATGCCCTTTTGGCTCTAGAGTAATGATTTGTACTTGTACAAGAGCTCACACTACATTTATCTTGTGAAAGCTGTGACCATAACATCCCAAAATGCTCTGTGGCACTGCCACTTTTCGGAATGTACATCATCTTTCTTCCTTCGCGAACTCTTCCTTCAAAAGCATAGTCGGCATACTGTAATGGTGGAGAATAACAATAGAAATTATCAGTTCCTGCCTGATATAACAACGTTCTTAAAGATAACTGCAGGTTACCTACTACAAGGGTTGTGAAAGTGACTTGCAGGTTGCTGAAGGTGACCTTGATTGCTCTGAAGGTGACTTTCATTCTGCCATCTGCTCTGCTTCCTTCTCTTCTGGTTCCTTCTCTTCTTTTTCCTCTTCTTGTATATCATTTTGTTCTTCTTGGGCGATTTCCTCTTCTTTTTCCTCCTCCTTTTCCTCCTTGTCTTCCTCCTTGTCCTCCTCCTCCTGCTCGTCCTCCTCCGTTTGCTTCTTCACTGGTTTCTTCCTAGGGTTCTCCTCTTCATCCAAATCTGATTTTTCTTTCTTTTTCATCTGCAAAAGAGAAGCGTGGTAATTTTAGTGAATATTTCATGGTCAATTGTATAAAGAAATAGGTAAATTTTGTCTACTGTGCAGAGATGAACAAATGTGAGCAATTATCACCAGGTTACTCTTATAACACAAGTTATAGAATAAATAAGATCATTAGATTTCAGAGCCTATAACTATGGAAATTGATTTAAGGTTTGACTGAGCTCCTCTATAGCTGTGTCTCTGCTTCTCCTGCTCAGTGAGTCCAGATCCCACCAATTGTACCAATAAAAGTCATGGGATTCCTGACTGACCTAAAGGTTTATAATTATGATTGCAGCATGAGCTAAATCCAGGATTATGTTTCAGAATCTGAGGCAATGTTACAGAGTCACTTTAAAGAAGAGGAGACGCGCATATAGGCAAGTAAACTGACCTCTCTCTGCTCCTCCTTGCGCTTCTGTATCTCCTCCTGCTCCAGCTCCCACCAGTTCCTGGGGTACCTGGCAATGTTATCCATGAACTGCTCATTCTCCTCCCACTGTCTGTCCCACTCCAGATGGTTGTATTCTGGCTCCCTCGCCAGGATCCTCCGGAGTATCTCCTGGTTCTCCCTGGTCACCCGGAGCAGCTCTCGTTGACGCTTCTCACGGTTGAGACTGCAAAGGAGGGACAGGTGAAAAAACTTCCACATTAGTATTCATGTTTCTAATGAAAGTTGTTCATTGGATCATGATAAAAGTGACCTCGATCTTTGTTGTGTTTAATACCCATTTTTTTTTTTTACCTATGCTTTTTATAACTTTACAGTTTATATATTAATTTGAACCGTAAAAACAAAACATAGTAAACATAACTGAGGAAAGCACAGCACAAAATTTGATTCAAATATAGAAGATGTGGTTTTATTTTCACAGCTTTCCATGATTTATTTAAACTGGAAATTTTTGTTTAAAAGAATATTTTTTCTTCACCAATCAATCATATTAAGAAATGAGAATAATTCATTGTGCATGAAGATTGATGGGGTGTCTAGATGTCACTCTGATAACTTTGAGAACACAATTGTAAATTTAAACTACTTGAATCTGTATCTACTCGTACAAAAATGACATTTCTACGAATGAATGATGGACATACTGAAGAGCTGAACATACCTTACAATTTTTTGTTATATAGTATTCTGATTCTTTCTGAATAAATAAACGTTTTGGTGAATATTACCTTCTATGAATGTAATTATTCCTGTTATCTACTCTTCCTCTCGTTCTCATGATGACAGACATCTTCTCCAGGAGGATTCTGTTATCTCTCTCAATCACAGCTAAACGCTCCTCCTCCAACTGGAAAACAAAAGAAAATGAAAGTTAATAAGTATCCAGCTTGATTAGACTTGAACTGATATTGGGCTTAAAGTACAACAAACTTATTTCCCCCTTTGCATCCTTTTTGTGTGAGTAAATTGCTGTTGGTTTTGATTTTGTCACATGTGTAGAGAAGGCATTTTTTTAGTTGTATATTCAGTTAATGTCAGATAAAAACAATTAAATATTTGCTTCCATAATTAATTTCTTTTTTTTCCTTGTTTGATTTAAATGACTGAATTGCTATTGTTATTCATTGTTAAGTATATGATAAACAATGCATTAGATAAACCTTCTTAAAATCTTAGATACTGAGCAACTTGCTTACATCGATACCGTGGAAATCATATCTTTGAACTATAGGTTTAAACATTTTACAAAACACAATTTGCCCCTGGTATATAAACAAAAAATTATGCTCTGTATGAAAGGCTCTATGCAGTTGTTAAAGAACAGGGACAGTTTACTTATTCATCGGGATCAAAATAGTTTTTAGTTCTGGATGCCTAAAATATCTTGACATTTGTCTTGCATATAAGTTCTCGTCTAAACATCACTCTTTTATATGATAAGGAACTTAATGGCTGCTACATTATGGTATTTTGTTTTAGGTTGCATTTGCAGTTGTTTGTCGATCTGTATGTACATTTAGGATGGATGCAATGTAGAAGAATTATTATTCCAGCTTTATATTCTGAAATTAAGATAGTACCTTCTTCTCTTACCTGTAATTTCTTGAGTTTAAGATGAAGATGGACATATGTTGTTGGCGGTTTGGTGTCGACCATTGGTCTAGCTTCTTTAACCTGGAAAAATGACAAAAAGAGAATCAGAACATTTGAATTCAAACAGATCTACATCAATTCTACATTCATTCAAACAAGACCGTCATGAGAACATGGGAACAAATCAGTAGTCTACTTGAAGAAATATGTCCTGTGACAGTAGACAGAAATATCTGTCTGCATGCTTTGAGGACTTTTTAAACATTTAATATTTAAAGCTCTCCTGGGTCGGTGAAGCCTAACGTATAGTCTATGCGGAATTAACATATCCCTGAACAAAAAAGACTGACTTTTCGCCTTTTTCGGCCTACTACTGCAACAACTTCTCTAATTTTTATACTGTGCACTGTGATCAAGAATTTACGCAATCACAAATATTACAAAGTTAAATTTACAAAATAAGCTAATTAAATTTTAGAAATGGTATATTTGTATGTTCCAATAAACATCAGTGTCTTACTTTTGGAAAATAATTTTTCATCTTTTCATATCATGATCAGTCATTAATTATTTTCAAAAATATCTTCATTGCATGTTCATGAACTTAATTCTTATTATATGAGTTTACAATTTCCCTCAATATTGTAGTTTCCATCATTCACATAGACAATAAATGCCTTGAAGAACTAGCACAATTTGCTTAAAATAATACAACCTATCATTTTGTTTTGCCCATGCATTTTGCTCACTATTTCGACTACATGCATAACATACCTTCTGTCTGTGTTCATCGTAATATTTCTGATCCCACCTCTGCTGTAGCAGTCGGTTGTGGCTCGGTAAAATAGACTGGTACGATTTGTGCATATTGCGTTGATAATGAAACAGATATTCCGAATAAATTCTAGAAGAAGTAGAAGATGACCTCCCTGTCCTGGTTACTTGTACAGAAATAATACGAAAATCAATTATTTTCAGCGTTTCTTCCTATGTTGTGCGTGGAGTTGAGTTCAATATGCCGAAATGACCTCTAAATAATATGCAGGCGATTATGCAGGCGATTGTGCACGGGTCATAACAAATAACACGCATACACACACGCTGGCTAGGTCGCTAAGCAATTACTCAATGGTACGACGCATGCGCACAAGTGACAGACACCTGTCCGTACGGCGTAGCCATAGCAACAACACTGTCAGTTCGCGGGAGTGTTTATTTATTACAGATACGCGCCGCTGATCGCCTGACTGATTATATCATTTACAGGGAAAGTGGGTAATTGATTGAGTGGCAGAATGTTTAATTGGAGGCAGAGGAGGAAATAATTGCCGGTGCGATCCAAAAATTGTGCGTATAGGCCTAATCATCGTGCCTACAGGAATATTTTGTTTTCTTGATAGTTACATGTATTTAAGGGTTTAACGCATTTGATTTTCATACGAATTCAGGTTTACAAGAAATCCTTGTTTATAGCTGATGCGGTATATTGATTGCTCTTTTTTTCAGACCGAGGTTAGAATCATAACCCTCAGTGGACCAAAGACTGTATTCTCCCCCCCCCCCCCCTCTCTCTCTCTCTCTCTCTCCCTCCCTTTCTGTCTCTCTCACTCCCTCCCTCTCTCCTTCCCTCCTATCCCTTTTTCTCATCATTCTTCGTTCTTTGCTTGACTGTGACAATCAAAGATGAATTAAAAGAGGCAACATAAAATCAAATTTGTAGTGATACATATATTTATTAAAGATTATAATCTAGCATAGGAATGTCTTTTATAATAATTATCATAATTTCAAATTTAACCTATATACCAACATGCAGATTTTCAAAAACACGCACGCACACGCACAAATATAATGTCACTAAAATACAGATCGTATAAAACATCTTTAAGAGCAAAATGGAAGTAAGAAAAACCTACGAAAGACTAGATGAAATTTGGCATGATATATGAAAAGTGTCAATCGAAATCGATACGAAATTCGCCTGGTTAATTTTTTTTTTCTTCATGTTCTTCGGGGAGCTTCAAATTTAGACGCACTAACATCTGATGAGCAAAGATATGAGGCAAATTTTCTATATTTTTTCGTACAACCTACGCCATAAATATCATAATAATGAACTGAAACAAACTATAATTACGTTTTTTATCATGATGTCAATCTATTATTATTATTTTCGTTTGATCTTCCTGCTAAGAATATTATTATGCTGCTTTGTCCTTTCAGCCTCTTACAAAGTTATATAATTATATATATATAATATAATGAGCACTGGACTATTTAATTACTAATAGGCATCTAGGTGTTGAAAGGTGATGACAAGTACAGAAATACTTCTGAAGTTTACAATATAAGTGCGTTTGAAAAAAGAACTCGACTCATTTGTCTTGCTTTGGGCTTAGGTTCTTTCTATTTGCTTTTCTTGCGCTGAGCCATTTTATGTTTTATATTTTACATAAAATAAGAAGTTTCTGTAGAATTTAACTGCATCTATGAACATAACGTGTGCTAATGCTGATGATGAAAACTTTTCCAACTTACAGTATATAATACATACAGATTATATAGTGACAATGTCAAAAACCTAAGCTCTTTTGCATAAAAATACCCGAAATATGAATGTGATCGCATGTTGTTGCACTATATATCTGCAATCCAGATGATTATAAGTCATGTTGTTACACCATATCCTATTCTGCAATCTAAGATTTCACATAAAAATATACCTTTAATTGGTACACACCAACAATGTTATGAAAAATAACAATTACACAGATTGTTGTCTTGAAAGCGAAAAGTTAAATTGTTAATATATTTTTCAAAGAGTATGTATCAGAAGATGATTCATTGATTTGCTACACACATGTGGAAGTATATTTGGTATAGGCCCAATATAATGCTGAGATGGACAGCCATAATAAAACATCGTAATACAGCACAAATAAGCCTAGTTTAATACTATTTGTTTTGTAATCAATGGAGGGATAGAGAGTACGTTTGTATCTATTAAATATTGCAACAAGTAATGTTTATTCATTGGCATGTGTACTAATTATTCAGCTTTGGTGTGATTTGAGACTGGCGTAGATAAAATAAATGATGATGATTTTTAAAATAATTTAGCAGTGGCATATATATTTTTTTTAAAGTGAAAAGAAGTGGGCGGTTTCCTCCCCGGTCCAAGATGGAATATGTCTGGAAACTGGGCGATCCCAATAAGCCGAAGGTTCCCTGAAAGATGTATTCATTTTTGTTTGGGGCCTTCGGGAGGGGGCATACGTCGTAACCCCTTTATACTACATAGGCCACTGCGGTTCTTTTCAGCATTTTCCTGTAAAAATCCCGTCTTGTTCATTTTAAGGCAGTAACATTTTTTCTTTCAATTTAAAATAGTTTTCATTCTTCTTGTTTTTGTTTATTTGTTTGTTTGTTGTTGCTGATTTCATATCAATCTGACATGAACAAGACACACATGTACGATTAGTTATTAACATGAAACCTTCAATAACCGAAAAACACGCAAAACAATCAAATAGTTGTTTTTCAAACAGCTAACAAAAAAATTAAAAAGATTTTAAAAGCCTTATTTTATTACCTACTTCTTGTCGTATCTTTTTCTTTTTTTTTCTCTTTCACAGAACATGAAATAACTCTCTCTCAAGCATCAAGGAATAAAAAAGAGAGAAAAAAAACAACTGGTGAATTAAATTATCATCTATACTTCTTGTCGTGTGTACCTTGTACTTTATAACCACTAACAAACTATTCATCAATATGAAACTTTCAAATAACACCAAACAATGAAATGGATGTCTCTCAAACATCACGAAATGAAAAGACAGAGAGAAAAAAAAAGTGAGTTATTTCTATAATCTATTTTTTGTCGTATGTATCTTTGCCTTTGTAACCGCCGACGTAGCCCTCTGCGGCCTTTGCGTCGAAGTCCTTTCTTCCGTCCAGGCCCTTGCCTTTGCCACTCTCATCGAATCGCTCCTTGTGTGAACCTGTATATTTGGAACTATCGGTAAGCCGATCAACTCCTCCGGCTTTCGACGCTTTTGTGGCACCCTGTATCAATAAAACAATATTAAAAATTTGGATATTTGTTGCTTCATTCTGTTTTCATAAACATCTATGTTTCTTAAAATCATTTTCTTTCTTTTTAAAAGCTGTCGATAAAAAAATGTCGGCAAACGAGTCAGCAAAATGAGCCTTCCCCCATTCATTTTTGAGTGTGTGATGCCCACTTTGGCAAATCCTTATTTTTCTATGACACATATTCTCAGGCGACAAATGACTGACCCGCGGTCAAATATTCATACTAACCCAATTCCCATCTTCAACCCCGGAAAACACTTCATCTTAACCCCAGCCCTAACCCAACTCTAATCCTAACACCAAATCTGAACCTAAAATTCAATAACTTATAACCCTAGTCCTAAATCACCATCTTCGACGAATAAAGCCCTTAGAAAATGTTGAAGAAGCATGCGTATGATCGCCCCACTCCCCCAAAAAGTGTCTGCTGTTGGATGTTTTTTTTTCTCGACAATCTCGTTATCACACTAAACCCTAACCCTAAACTTCAATTCAATTAAGTTCAATTAAGTTTATTCCTTCCCACAAAAATCACATTACAAACAAAACTGTAAATAACATGCAAAATCTTTCACTAGAATATACATAAGTACATTAAAATATTAAACAATAATGGAAAAAGGGAAGTTATAAAAACCCAAATAAATGAGTTTGCCGAGATATCTCCCCCAAACTAATTAAACAAATTGTGATGAACATAATAAAGATTTGAAATTACATAAACTTATTTTGCCCCAAAGAAAACTCGTATAACAACAGAAACGAACAAAAAACCATACAAGCCCTACAAATACACACATATATATATATAAAGTGGAAACTTAAAACTAACCTACAATCGACTAGCAGCCCTAACTCTGAACCTCGATCTTTGACAAAATAATACTCATAGAAAATGGCACTAAACCATTATGTAAGATACCCCCCCCCCCAAAAAAAAAAAAAAAAAAAAAAAACTATTGGAAATTTGTCCAAACTAGTCATCAAATTTGTTCCAACATCTCTCGCCCCCCCCCCCCCATTCAAAAAAAAAAATTGCGACACCCCCTTTTTAGCAAAAAAGTGCTTACCGATGTACCAGGTCCTTTGCCTGCGCAGATCTTCTCAATCAGCTTTTGGACGTCGTCTTTGCTCCCGTACTTCTTCTCGGCACATAATTCCAGAGCCTTTTTAAACTGGGCAAAGTTGATCTTACGATCAGTCTTAGATTTGACCTCAGGTCTAAGGGGATAAGGGGAAGATAAGAACATAATCATCTTATTATTGGTATTAATTAAAAGTAGTAGTTATAGTAGTGGTAGTAACAGAAGTAGGAGTGGTAGTGGCAGTAGTAGTAGCAGTAGTAGTAGTAGTAGTAGTAGTAGACGTAGTAGTAGTGCTAGTAGTAGTATTAGTAGTAGTAATAGTAGTAGTAGTAGTAGTAGTAGTAGTAGCAGTAGTAATAGTAGAAGTGGTAGTAGTAGTAGTAGTAGTAGTAGTAGTAGTAGTAGTAGTAGTAATAGTAGTAGTGGTAGTAGTAGTAGTAGTAGTAGTAGTAGTAGTAGTAGTAGTAGTAGTAGTAGTAGTGGTAGTAGTGGTGGTGGTAGTAGTGGTGGTGGTAGTAGCAGTCGTGTCATTACTATTCTTATGATTACCGGTATTATTATCATCATCATTATCATAATCATTTTCATCATCTTCATCATACCATGATTACTTAAGGGTGTAGGGTTTTATACACGTGATCATTTTATGGTAGCATATAATTATTTTGATCCATGCCAAATGTTATCATGTCTAGGGTACAATGCAATGGGGATACATTCCTTTTAAATCAATATTTGGATACGCCACTAGGCTAAGTCCACATGCCCCCAAGTTGTGAATTCAAGAGGGCACAGCCGCCCCCCCCCCCCCTTAGTGATATGGCATGTCTTATGACTTGTATACAGAGAGACAGACACTGTATTAGCACTGACTTGACAAGATTGTTTTTTTCCACAGACAAAATATATGTCAACCCTCAATTGCGTTACCGTACCCCTTCCCCCCCCCCCCCCACCCCTGAGTACATAATCCTGAGTACGCCTCTGTATGCTCCATACCTGTTAAAGATGATGTCTGTATCGGTGCTGGTGAATTTCTTGTCGTAAAGCTTAAGGTCTCTGAACATCTTGCCCCACTTGGAGTTATCCATGACAGGCGCGGCATCCTTGCTCCCAGCACCGAAGGCGCAGAAAGACTTGAAGACATCTTGAAGCTGGCCGTCAGACATTTTGTTCTTTCGGTCTTAGGACAAGTTATGTAAACGATGAAACTAAAGAGAGAGCAGAGAGAGAAGAGAGAGAGAGAAAGAGAGAGAGAGAGAGAGAATCATTAAAGGTAAAGACCAGTTATGGTCATGCGATTGCGTTGTGAAAGAAACGTTGTGGAATCGATCAGAAAAGGTTGATCATCTAGCATCTGCAAGGTTCTGGAATCATCAAAATGATAAGAAATTTGGCCCATTCTTCGTAAAGTTACAAGCACTATACACAGAAAGATGTATATGGGACTACCCTATATCTCTCACAGTCCATGAGAGAAACAAATTTACCAAATATATGAGTAAGTAGGCGGTTTCCCGGCAATTTTTTTATCATCATGTATTAGTCAAAACATATTCTTTCACATGATTGGTAATGAGAGCTTCCATTTCATTTTTTGAAATTGGGGCGTTTCCAATACTGGTCTTTACCTTTAAAGGTTGTATAGGGCTCTCTTACAAAGCAGTTTATATCTACTGAAGAGACTATCCTGTATAAAGAACACAAAATAAATAAATAAATATAAAGTATCTTCCTGATTTTATCCTGCGCCTATATGAATGATAATCTCACGCATTGTCAGCGCAAGTAATTCATTTTAGCATACAAAGTTTCAACAATAACAAAGACAAAAAACAACAACAATAATAATACGAGAAGACATACATTTATGATTTAGAAAAGAGTCAATTGTCCACCTTCTTAAACCCTTAAAACAATGAACCCTCCCCACCCACTTTTCAGTGGCGTATCCAGAAAGATAAACAGGGGGTATTACCCGGACGGAAGGTGGTATGTATTTTTGATTAAGTGAAAAAGCGACCCCCCCCCCCCCCCCAAAAAAAAAAAAAAAAAAAAAAAAAAATTATATATATAATATTTGAAAAAAATATATTTAAAAAAATTAAAAAATCTCCAGTGCGGGGGGGGGGGGGGGGGGGAGTCGCCCAGTGTGTGTGTCTACATATTATAAAGATATAGTGTAATTTACACATAATGCATATAAACACTGTTACATATAATTATGTTGTGCCTCAAGGGTTGAAGTATCAGGAAGGTGAGGGCAATGGGGTGGGGGCAGGGCTGTACAAAATGCAAACAAAGTATCATCTAGACATAAGGTATGTGTAGGCCTTTTAACCTTTTCTGTGTTTAAGATTGAGAACATGTTGAGTATCCGTAATATACATTCTGCTATAAATAAATTCGATTCTATCATCGTATTTTAAGGCACTGCAAATCCTTCTTTGTCACAAGCTGCCGGCTGTCAAGCTCACATCTCTATTTCTATGTAGCTTGGGTCTGCTCAAGCTTCTGCCGAGACCACCGAGCATCTATGGTTGCTAGGCAACCTTCTCGTAAACAGTGATAGGTGGCGTGGCCGCGGACAGTTTATTTTTCTGTGCATGCTGAGTGTGATCCCTTTCGACAATGGATTGAAGCAAACGACTCGAAGGTACAAGTTTAATAACTCTGGGTAAAAAAAAACAAGTTCATAAGGAGATCCCAATGCCAAGAATGACCGGGGAGAGAGCGAAAGAGAGAGAGAGAGAGAGAGAGAGAGAGAGAGATTGACGTTGAAACTTTTCATCTGATTATGCTTAAATTTATCGCTAATAAATTTGCCTGAAAATTTGGAATAAAAAAAAAAGATTTCCATGGTGCATGTGCCATGTCAAGTTTACGGAGTTTGATCAAATTGATTAACTAGCCTGGCTTGCAGACTGAAGGACGTATTAACGCAAAAATCATGGAGCCTCTTTACCAAGTCAAAGCTGACTCCCCCTACTGTGACTATGTCGTTTAATATGGACATTTACTGTATCTGCTTTAATATACTGGAATGATCAAGACCATCAATGACATAGTATGGAAGCCAGACTATTGATAATATGTTTGATAACGTTAGAGTGATACTGATAATGCGCTAATATAGACTCTGATTCTCAGCGTTCCTGAATTTTTATTTTTTATAATAGGTCCCCTGATAGATGGCACCACAGGGGCTTTTCTATCATAAACTAAACAAACGTGCATGACTGAGACTATGCTACGAGTTTAGCGTGTGGTTTCTAAGCAACGGCTTGAGTGAATGGTGTAGACTTCGAGCTAATTAAATAATGCACCAATTCAATATCACCCGATGGAAATTCTCGTTCTGCTCAGCATTTATAACCGTGCATGTCTGACAAAGAGCAATATATCAAAATGTCGAAATGTAAAGTACATTGTATAGTATTCAGGTAATGCTCTATATAAATGTAAAATATTATCATCATGTTATTATCATTTTCATTATCATACAAGCAGGGCTCAAATTAATTTTGTGTCCACGGGGGCTCTTCCCAAAAAAAAGAGCCCCCGTGAGCCTTCTCACGGGGGCTCTTTTAGTACTGACGGGGGCTCTTTTTTATACAAATATCCATTGAATTGGTACCTATGATACTCCTCAATTATTTGCTATTTCATCATTATCACTTTAATCAGCATTTTCCTTTTTACAAATTTACAAGCTAAATAGCTGTTACTGACTTTCATCCCGTGATGACATTCTCTCGATTTTTTCCCATTCTGCACATTATTTCCTCCTCAGTATTCGGAGCAACCTTTACATTCTTCCTTTACTGAGACGCGTAGCGGCGAGGCGATATTGTGTGTGTGCTATTTTGGACAGGCGCGGATCCACGGGCCGATTCTACCGCCCCCCCCCCCCCCTAGCCTCCCAAAGCGGTAAAAAAATAGGATAGTAACGTAAATTTTACCTTAAAAAATTAAATAAAAAACGCCCCCCCCCCCCCCCCCTGACCTGCCAGTGACACAAATGCGGCATCAAAATATTTGTGCTTCTCTGACCGTAATTAAATGCCTAAAACCCCTGAACCCCCCCCCCCCCACACCAATTTACGCTCGCTACCCTCTACCCGATCGTAAATACTTTAGCCCCCCCCCCCCCCCCCACTTTGATAAACGTTCCGCGGGGCCTGTGTATATAATATATACGCATACAACACTGATCTTTATGATGTCTTTAACGTGACATATCTTCTTCTCCCCTTGCAAACGAGAAAGTAAACAAGGTCATTAAAAGGGATTAAGCGAAAAATAATGATTGTGATTCAAATTGATGCGAATATTTGTTTGAATAAGCACTGCTATTCACCCGAATCTTCTTTGTAAAAACAACTGTTACAAATCTCAGCCATGCTTACTGAGTTTAGACGTTCCATTCAATGTAAAATACTCATTAAAGAATACACTTCTCCTAATCTGAAAGTGATCTTACAACACAGTGGCAGATTTGCATGGCTGAGATTTGTAAAAGTCGTTTTTACAAAGAAGATTCTGGTGAAAAGCATTGCTTATTCAAAAAAATCCTTGCATGGGCGCTTCACACAACGCGGCGACAATCGTCATTTTTGTTTGAGCTAAGCATGATTATGAAGCAAGAGATTAGATGAAAATTACCCGCATAATAATTGTTCTTGAATAAATAACCTTGGTGCGTTATCATATTAATAGCCTTCATTAACATAACGGCATAACAATGCATTGTGGCCTTCATTCATGCCATTTGGATAATACATTAATGATCAACTTTATAATAGGCCTACCCTTATTTTCGATAAAAATATAAGATATTTTCACCCGTTCATTTCTCTCTCTCTCTCTCTCTCTCTACGTTAACATCTTATCCTCTCAATCTCTCTCTAAACACTGTCGCTCATAAAGGTGGAATATTTTAGTTTATCCCAATTTATGGAATTATTTTAAAAATTATTTAAAAATAATAGATCTAGATAATAGTATACATTCTCAGATTTTATTGAATAATAATTGCCAATGTGTGTTTTGCGGGACTGCTAAAGCATGTGTATGCTACTATGCTTATTAACTAGGGGACCTACCCCCTCAAGTCATAAATGACAGTAATGAGTGTAAGTGTATTTGATTTAGTTGACAAAAAGGTTAGAGCGCCATCTTCGGCGACAGACTTTTATAGACAGAGTTTCAAAGTCAAACAATGATCAATGAAGAACAATGAGAAATCGATGATTAATTGCAACATATTCTTAGCTGCAGACAAGTTAATTGACTAAAAGGAGGCAAGAAGGTCAGTACTTATTAGCTTGCAGTGTTTCAGTTGTGGGAAATATGTGTATAATTATGATATTTATGCCATAACTTTGAGGCAGGTGCCCATGTATAAGAATTTATGTTGATGAATCTGTGTATAAGAACTTAAGTTGTATTAATTTATAGAAGTGTGAAGACTATTCAGGAAACACAAAGAAATAGTAAAGTTAAGTAAATGGCAAGGTTTGGTATAATGCCTATGGGTCACGCCCAAATTTGTATTAAGGAACCTGTAATTATTACATGGATAAGGAACCTGTAATTATTATTGCATTTTAATTAATGCCCATTTTTTGTTGTTTGTTTTCTCACAGTTTTCACGGAGTGAAAAGAACAGAGTTAAAAGAAAGGAGTCAAAGAAAGGAAGCTACGCTCCTACCAAAGAATAAAAGAACACTCCCGTAAAAACCTTGTTAACTTGTCGTTATTGATTGGCTGCAGTTACAGTGAAAACTTCTGGCTCTAAGATTGGTTACTGTTCACTGTCGACAAGATGCCAGAGGAAGAAGAGGCTAAGCGAACGAGATCCGACCCGAAGCCAACCGAACTTGGACTCCAGCACCAAAACGACCAACGTGAACTGGAGTTTCGTTATTCATTAAGAGGTTGGCGTCAAGCGGCCAATAAGTTGAGAGCTGCTTTAAGTGATGAAGAACTCGTATTGGTCATCAAGCAACAGAGAGATGAAGTCCAAGCTGCTATGGACAAGGCAACGGTAGTTCAGGATTCTCTCAGCAAGATTAAGGTGTCCTTAAAATTGCATGATGACAGCTTCGACAAGATTGAAGAGGTGGAGGAGCAGCATGCAGAGCTGATGAAACAAACCCACGAAAGAGTGAAGGTTCTACAAGGAGGCTCTGTAACCCAATCGACGTCA